TCGGCCGGCTGACAGAAAGACCATCTTCAGTTTTAATGTTTGTTTTTGGTAGGAACAGACTATTATTTTTGATTCTTTTGTCCTTTATTTTTTTAAATTTTATTTGTGTGTGTGTGTGTTGCCAGCTCAGCCCACCAGAGGGCGGGTATGGCTGGCATGTGGTGCTGGGGGATTGAACCGTGGTCTCTGTGCTTTGCTAAGCTTGTTGTAAGTAGATGCTTTAGACCACTGAGCCATCTCACCAGCCCTCTTTTGTCCTTTAAATATTTTATTATGGTTAAACTTCATTGTCATCCAATTTAACATAGTTCCATTTATTTTGGTGTGTTACTGATGATTGAACCCAGGATCTTTGGTCTAACCTACATTCCCAGCCCTGTTTTGCCCGTTTTTGGTTTGTATTTTGTGCAGGGTCTCACTATGCAGCTCACACTCATAGTTATCCTCCTGTTTTTCAGGATCCCAAGGGCTGGGATTACAGGTGTGTCACCATGACTGAACATGGTCCTGGCCCCGGAGCGGGATGGCACTGGCACAGCATGTGGTGCCAGGGATCAAACCCTGGCCCTTGCACTTTGCCTAAGCAGGAGCTTACTCTGCTGAGCTATCTCCCTGGCCCTCCATGCCTGGATTAACACAGTATAGAGTTAGTATAAGGAGTGTATTCTCAGTGTTATTTCAGTAGAGCATTGTGGTTTTATTTTGTATGACAGGTTTTACCCTTTGATATTGTGTTATGTTTTGTTTTTTTGTCGGTACCGGGGATTGAGCTCAGGACCTTGCGCTTGCCAGGCACGTGCTTATTCTACTGAGCTATCTCCCTGACACTTTCTCTTTGATATTTAATTTTCAGTATCTTGACCTTGATGTACTTAAGTATGACTAGATTTTAATTTTACTTATTTGTTTTTTTGGAGAAAGGGCCTGTCTATATAATCTAGGCTGGTCTTTGATTTACTGTGTAGCCCCGGCTAGTCTTAAACTCATGATGATCCTCCTGTCTCAGCCTTCTAAGTGCTGGATTACTAACATGTGCCACCATTCCTGGACTTGTTTTGTTTTTTTGAGACAGGGCCTTTGTAGTCTAGGCTGGCCTTGAATTGAAAATCCTCCTATGTCAGCCTCCTTACTGCTGAGATTATAGCCATGTGCCACAGTGACTCTTTTGTCCCTATTGTTTGCTGAGCTTCTTGGATCTGTGGGTTAGAAATCTTTCTTTTGCTTTTTGAAGATTTTTATTTGCCAAGGGACTGTTTCTCTGCTTGCTATCATTTGGGAAATGATACTTTCTGTCAGTTGGGAAATGCAGCTTCTAGTATGTTATACTATAAATCTCCATCCCTTTTTTACCCTTTCTCTTTAGTGTAGTCTAGGTGACTTATCACTTCAGTAAATTTCAGTGTACGTTTGGCTTCAGCTATGTTAGGGGATGTTAAGGGCTCTTTTTGTCAGACTTTGGGACCTAAACACGAATAGAAAACAGATTTTGTGTTTTCAGACCAATCATTCTGCATCACTGCTACTTATTCCGCTAAAGGCTTCTGGAGCATGATTGGATAGTAGTAGGGACTAGTTTTATTTTTGAGCTCTTCCTTATTCTAGTCTGCCCTAACTCAGTTATTAAAAGTTCTACTGGGCCAGGCCAGGCTTGATAGTGCACATGTAATTTTAGTATTTTGGAGGCCTAAGGAGGCTTGCAAGTTTGAGGCCAGCCTGGACAATTGAGTGAGACCCTTTCCCAGAAAGGAAAAAGGCTGAACCTGTTGCTCAGAGCTTACAAAGCTCAATTAGGGATGAGGTAGGGAACTTGGGGTTTTGGGCTGGTTTCTAGGTATTCCAAAGAAAAGCTTTTTTTCTGGGCTGGAGAGATGGCTCAGTGGTCTAAGGCACCTACTTAGAGCAAGCTTGGCAAGGCATCAGGGACCGCGGTTCAATCCCCCAGCACCACATGCCAGCCAGCCCCGCCCCCTGGTGGGCTG